CTTCTATATGGATCGTCAGAAGGAGGAGCGTGAGCGTGGTGTCACCATCGCTTGCACTACCAAGGAGTTCTTCACTGAGACTTGGCACTACACTGTCATTGATGCCCCCGGCCATAGGGATTTCATCAAGAACATGATCACCGGTGCCTCTCAAGCTGATGTCGCCCTCCTCATGGTCCCCGCTGATGGTAACTTCGGTACCGCCATTGCCCGTGGTAACCACAAGGCTGGTGAGATCCAGGGTCAGACCCGTCAGCATGCCCGTCTTATCAACTTGTTGGGCGTTAAGCAGTTGGTTGTCGGTGTCAACAAGATGGATTCTGATGTCGCTGGTTACAAGGAAGCTCGTTACACTGAGATCCGTGATGAGATGAGAAATATGCTCGGTCGTGTGGGCTGGAAGAAGGACTTCGTTGAGAAGTGCGTCCCCATCCTTCCCATCTCTGGTTGGTGCGGTGATAACCTTATCAAGAAGTCTGACAAGATGGCTTGGTGGAAGGGTATGGATGTCCAGCGTACTGTCAAGGACACCGAGAAGATTCATGTCGAGACTTTGTACGATGCTCTCGAGAAGTTCGCTACTGTCCCTAAGCGTGTCGTCGATGCCCCCATGCGTGTTCCCCTCTCCGGTATCTACAAGATCAAAGGTGTCGGTGATGTTCTCACTGGCCGTGTTGAGCAGGGTGTTGTCAAGCCCAACGAGGATGTCATCTTCATGCCCACCCATACCCCCGCTACTCCCTGCAGCGGTAAGGTCTTCACCATTGAGATGCATCACAAGCGTGAGCAGGAAGCTTATCCCGGTGACAACGTCGGTCTCAACGTTAAGGGTCTCAACAGGGATAACATGCCCCGCGTTGGCGATTGCATGATCTCGAAGGCTGATAAGACTCTCCAACACATCGGTAGCTTCACCGCTCAGGTCCAGATCTTGGATGTACCCGGCGAATTGAAGGTTGGTTACTCTCCCATCGCTTTCGTCCGTACTGGTCGTTCCGCTTGCAAGCTTACCAAGATCAACTGGAAGGTCGGTAAGGAGACCGGTGGCAAGAAGATGGAGGATCCCCACTCCTTGAAGTCTAACGAGATGGCTGAGGTCGTCTTCGAGCCTCTTCAGCACCTTGTTGTCGATACCTTCAAGCACTGCGAGGGTCTCTCTCGTGTTGCTCTTATGGAGGGTAACGGTGTTGTCATGCTCGGTAAGTGTGTCGCTACCACCCCTAAGGAGGTTAAATAATTTCTCGAGTTTCTACTGTTTGGAATAAACTTTTCTTCGCCAAGTATTGTGTACACATGAAGTGAACGTTGAGTCGTTAATGACTGTGAAATAGAGCGAGTTTGAAAGGTTCGCTGGGTCTACATAACCAGCTCTAATATGATATGACTGTTATCTCGATTATCCGTTGTGCTGAATCTCCATGATGCATGGAGGTAATAAAACTTCCTTGCCCTGCCCTTTTAAACTATGTCACGAGTGCATTTTTCTTTGCAGCCGTTGTCATTCGCGCACGAGCAGAATCAATCCGGAACGACCTATATTTGTTCATGAGGGCTGTGCAAGTCCCGTACCCAACTCGACGTAATCAAAGATATACTATCTTTTCATAAGTCGACTCATCTTCAACCATAAAAGAAACTCAAGAAACAAACTAATCGAAACCAAGTAAATATGTCGAAGGCTTCATTCCAGCATGTGTCAAATTCCCGTGTAGCCACACCCCACCATCAGAAGCGGAACTTCCTCAGCGGCTGCTCTTTAATTACGTGTTTGGTCAGTGGACGGATAGGACGTCGTTCCCTTACCTGATGTGGAACAGTTATGGTACTCCAAAAGCACCACACGGGACACTCACAATAGGAGTTGGCCGATTCTCGCTGTAAATCTTGGCAGCGAAACGGCGGTTCCGCAACATCTGGTTTCGCATTGATTCTTTCTCCTCACGTATTTTGAGGAGCTCCCTTTCCTCAGTCGTAAGAATCGAAGTGCATCTTCGAGAGCTCATGCTGTACTGTGAGTGCTTCAAGTTTCCTCCATTGAACGTGGTGTGCAAACATCGAGCATTAGTCAGATCAGCTGAGCGCGAGCGCCGATGAACAGGTCCCCGACTGCTCAACATCCGGGGCTCATCGGGCTGCGACAACGATGGACTTGGCGAGCGCTCTCTCGTGAACCAACACCGCAAACCCAACGGCTCCTTCGCGACTTCCCCTTCCTGAGCGCTGACGACATCGGCTTCTGAAAGCACGAACGACCATCGTTGAGACACCTGCACTGATGCTCACTACTGGGATCACTTGAATCATCTCCAGGGGAACCTACGAACTCTCGGGTAGCGGTCTTGTCGCCAACTGAGGATTCCCTCTCGTCCATCGTGTTATCGGTATGGTATCCGGACGACAGGTCTATCTCCTCCATGATGCTCGCTTCAAGATGGTGATCGCTCGAATGCCAGTCCTCACCAAGGCGCGAGGCCTCATCACAATCCTTGTACGCATTGGAATCTTCCATGCTCGACCCTCCAGCGTGCTCATACTGTGAGCCATTAGAGCTGTCTTGAAGAGGGGAGGAGGTAGCTGTAGGAGCTCTGCTGTCACAGTGCAATGACGACTCATCGTCTTGAGCCGGAAAGAGCTCTCGTTCTGAGCGGCGCTGCCCAGGAACTGATGGAATGGAGTCGCTATCTGCGTTGATCATATCGGACCGAGTCTCTTCGGCGGGTAGGAGCGGAGAGTTTGCCGCTGAGGAGAACGCTGAGTTGACTCGAACGACCAAAACATCATAGTCTTGGCCACTCCTGCTATCGTCC